TTGCCTTAGAAGGAGGCATAAATGTCCCCCTAAGTGTAGGTATTCTGACAGCCAAATTCAGCACGTTGCAAGCAGCAGTGGGAAATAGTTGTGGATTCGTTTTTGTTGAAACACTGGTGGGGAAGACTGAAAGATTTTTAAAGCAGCTAGATAGTCAGTCCACGAATGCGTTATTTTCCCGCATGCAGCAGTAAATTGTTTAAGTTCTGTAGAACACCTCCTAAATCTTGCTAAATTGTGTATTTGACCTTTGGGATTGTAGAGCAGAAGAAAAGATTGCAGTCTGAGGCACATTTTCCTATCAGCCCCCTTGATCTCAATAACCCTTACAGGTAGCGTGGAACTGGTTTACTCTGAAGGCAGGGCCTGCAGGGAGGCAGCAGCAAGTACATGTTTCAGAGGGAATCCTCTCCAAAGAGAATCACGATTCCTTAGGCCACAAGCCCAAGAGAAACCACAGCGCTGCTGCTAGCAAGGGATTAACTGTACCCGTCTGCTGGGGGTGATGGAGCTGAGCCAATACAATGCTTGAGGCAACAGTAGGACACTGTTGGGATAAACTGATTGGCTATGAGCTGCTGTTGGGTATTGACTCATCTGTTCTTGAATAGTTCAGCTTGAGCTCCTTCTTGCCCTGTGCCCCAGTAATGGCTCTGTGGGCAGGAGCAGTAGCTGACATGGGAGCAACCTGGGAAGTAGAAGTTGGGGTTTATCTGAGGTCCTGCTCGGAGGCCTTCTTTCTCTATTTGCCACTATGAGAACATGCAGCAAAATTTTCAAACCATTAGAGACCCTTCAGGGAATTCTTGTTTTTTGTTTCTGCTTCATGATTGAATTCAAAACTGTTCTCATGCTAATCAACCTTCTCAGAACTCTAACTGGGAGCCAGTTTGGTGTAGTGGTTAAGTGCGCAAACTCTAATCTGGGAGAACCGGGTTTGATTCCCCACTCCTCCACTTGCACCTGCTGATGTGACCTTGGGCAAGCCATAGTTCTGATAAGAGCTGTCCTTGAAAAAGAGCAGTTTCTGTCAGAGCCCTCTCAGCCCCACCCACCTCACAGGGTGTCTGTTGTGGGGAGGGGAAGGGAAAGGAGTTTGTAAGCCGCTCTGAGACTCCAAGTGAAGGGCGGGGTATAAATCCAATCTCTTCTTCTTCTTCTAAAGTCAGTCCACACATGGTTCCAACATTTAGGTGATGCTTTTGGCAGGGTGCAAAAGGGAGCTGTGGATTCCTCTCTTTTGTACCTTCAGTGTGAATTTGGACCTTCCATAGAATCCTCACTGATATTCATGGCTCTGTGTGTGAACTGTGAAGGCACATTTCTATACCTACCTGTCTACATGTTATTGGGATTATATGTCAACCGGTCCTAAACACACATGCTGCTCACCAGTGAGACCGGGGAGCCACTTTCCATATTGGTGTTCTCTGTGATGTTTTTGGTTGATGGCTGTTTCTTGTTTTTAAATCATATCTTTGTGTACTCTGAGAATTCTCTGCCAATGAGGACGCCCTTCCTTATGGTTCATAAGCCCCTCACAGAGTGTTTAGCAAAACAGGCTTGGTTTTCTCAGTGTGATGTCTGGTGATCCAGTTCGGCTGGTTTCTGTATCCAGTTGCTTGGAATGCCAATTATTGAACTGTGTCACTGTGTGTCTCTTTCTCATTCCATAGGATCGGTATGGCACATATTGATGTCTCTGGGGAATTTGCTGCTCATGGCCATCAGTGAAAAACCACTTGCACACTGAGTCACCTGGCAAAATTCTGCAGGACCATTTTTCAATTAAGCACGACTGGAGGGCCGCTTGAGAATAGGGTTGGATGGAGAAATGGACATGCCTGGCATTCGCTCAAAACCTCTCTGGACATCAGTTGCGTTAGAAACATGTTTTTTTTCCTCCCCCCCCCTCCCCCCAACCCAGACATCTTGCAAACAGAGCACGAGCTGATCCAGAGAATGTCCCCTTGCCGCTGTGCGGAGAGACAGGGTTGCAGATGAATGGTCACATTGTGGTGCTGCTGTTCCTGTTTTATTCCACAACGATTGTTCTTGGCAGAACAGATATTATGGAGGCAGGAAGCGGTACTGAATACTCCTCACCCCTCTGCATCCATGGGGATGCTGCAGTGGTGGGGAGTTCTTAGGCTGTTTTCTAGCACACAGGGTACTTCTGCAGGAAGTAATTCTTACTGCTTCTTTAGATTGACCTGGTGTAAGCCAGTCCTTTCAACGGCAGTGGCTTAAAAGCCCAAACTTACAGAAGGCTGCAGAAGTTCAAAGCATGCTTTGAAAAGATCTTTGCATGGTTGTACACTGCAAGTATGGTGGAGAGTTGGAACATGAATTCCACCCTTTCTCTCCACCGTAGCTTTGCAGGAGCCTTTTCTGGGAGAGTGTGGAATTAAGGGAAGGCAGTGGTGACTTGCTTCATGGGCTCTGCTTCCACTCCTAGTGTAATGCAGCCACTGCTATTACCACTCTCCCACCCACTCATTTGCACTTATCGATTTACCTGAATGGCAAGGCCCTGCTGTATGTGGGGAAAGGAAGTAAATAAAAGCAATGCCTCCTCCTCCTGCCCAAGCGTCATTGCTGCCCCTTTGCTCTTGCAAGCCTAGCATTGTAGGGGGGTTTCTCCTACATAATTTAGTTACGGCTCTTTTCAAAGAAGAACCAGAGAAGGAAAACACACCCTTCGTATCCTCCTGTGCTGCTCTGATGGCCAGGATGTTCCACAATATCCTGCCACAAAGCACCCTGCTGGATCTGCATGCCTTATCCCCCATTTCAGAGTTGGTTATGCTCTCTGGCTGACCATGGAGTCTCCTCAGTGCAGTGGGAGTGAAGGGGGACTTGATGCCGAGACCTTTTTGCAGTTCTGTTGCTCAGTAATTGCAGCTATCCCTCTAGGGTGGGTTCTCCTAGAAGCTCTTATCAAATTGACTGTATTCCCTAGGGTAGTGGGACAAGTCTGGACTCTGGCAGGGCTTGTTCCTGTAATGGGAGAGCAACCACTGTTAGGATGTTGTAGTGACACCTTGAGTTTCAGTAAGGCACCCATGCTAGAGCGAAGGGCTCAACTCGTAATGGAGCAATATCTTGCTCACGTCTGTATTTGCTTATTTGTGAGTGTGGTTGACCTGCTTTCTCCTTGCACACTTCCTAAGAAGGCAAGTGGCTGTATGGACTTATTGGAGTTCTTTCCCATTAGCACTTTGCTCTCGTTATTTGCTCCCTGGATTCTGAAAATGCACTGATGTTTACCTTTGACTATTGCAAATTTTGTCTTAAAATAAAGGAGGGTTACCTCTAGAGCACTTGCTCCTTGCATGGACAAGGATTAGCTCAGTGCTCCCTCTGCTCTTAGACTGGAAGAGGGTTCTCTTCTTGGGCTGTCTGTCTTGAGTTAATGGTAGTATTGATGAGCTGTGTGTGGCCAGGACTTGGGTCTTTGCTGGGGGGGGGGGTTTCCAAAAGAGAGTCATGTGGGTTTTTCCTCCCCCCCCTCAAGTGAATAAAATCAAATACCTGTGTGTCCTCCATGTTATGGATATCTGTTATTTCAAAGGTAGCTCTGGAGTCTGGGTAGATGTACACAGGCAGGAGGTACTTGCTCTTGTGTACCAAGGCCTATGGGGTGGAAGTTACATACTTGGGATGAGGGATGGCTGGGTAAATAAGGGTAAGGGAAAAGACACATCTTCCAGTGCCCGCTGTGAATAAACTCTTTTATGCCGACTCTTCCTTATGAGAGTTTGAAACTCACTGTGAGGAGTCAAGGGCCCTTTTTTACTGATTCACATTTAGGACTGTGATTTCCCCTGCCTGGATACAACTTTGGCTTTTGCTGCTCTTCCCTTCCCTTGGAGAGCCTCTCTCAAGTATCTTTGGCACTTATCTCCGTAACCCAAGGACAGTATTGAGGAGCAGTGCAAGCAGAGTCTTTTTTTAGGTTCTGTTCAGTCACAACAAATGTCAGTTTATTCATGTCATGAATGAACCTCAAATTCTCCTTGAGTGCTCAATCCCATCTCTCCCACCCCTACCCCCTCAAGGTGCAATGACTGAAGGTTTCCTGCTTTAGGATGCCATTGCTCTTGATTCTATTTATGGCCTCTGAGTTTGGGGCATCTTAACACATTGGGGCTTCTTGTACCTGGGATTCTGACCCTGCAGGCCTAGACAGTTTGCACCCTTCTAACCCAGTGGTCTAAATGGAGTTAGAAGGGTGTAGCTGTGCCTAGAAATGCACCATAAACAACAGTTTAAATTTGATTTGGAATGCTGGTTACTGCAAAAGAAAGAAACCCAGTTTGGCGAAGCATCCAAATTTAGGCCAGGGCTGTACTTTTGCATGTGAAGAGAGATGGGAAGGAATGTGTGAGCCTGAGAAGTTGAGGCTTACTCACATCCCACACAAATAGTGGTTGGTTTGTCATCTCTGAATGCCACCTTTAGTATTTTGTTCCCTCCAAATTGCCTTGTGGAAGGTGAGAAGTCACTGATACTACTTCTTGTCCGGTGTTACAGACTCGATTTGCTACATTATGATCACTGGACATGTTAAGTTTCACAGTTACAGTAGGTAATGGTTTATCTTCTAAGGTGGGGCCAGTACAAACAGCTGAAAAAGAGTCTTTCCACTTTGACCATGAAGTGTATATAATTTCTTAACTAGACAACTTACTAATGCCATGGCACAGCTTCTACTTCACACTTGAGTTTTGGAGGAAATTAGGATATCCATGTAGGAAACACATACAGCTTTCCGGTACAAAGTAAAACAAGCTTGGGGGGGGGGTCAAAGTGCCATCAGTTTGCAAGTTTAATATTCTATAAATCTTTACCACTTGCTGAGGATGAAAATAATGTTCCATGAAGCATGTGGTCTTCCTTCAAAAGGGTATCTCTGTGCTGCTTATTTGCCTTGCTTGCCACTAGAGGACAGTATACCCTTGCAAAAGAGTCCCACCTCTCTCCTTGCCTCTCCAGAACGGGAGCGGAATGGTTAGAACAGGGGTGGTTCAGCACTGCTAACAGGAAGATACGTAAGATATGCATGCACTGTACTGTGGATGTCATAAGAAGGCAATTAGGCACAGGAATGGCCCAGAAGTGCAAAAAGTGCTGATTCTTCCCACTGCCTTCAGTTATAAGACTATGGACATGAGCTGGTGCTTCTGCCTTCTGTTAATTCTCAGAAGAATCTGTCTCTTCTGTGGAGCCATCACTCTCCGTGTCCATTTTCCGGCGGTAGTAGAGAGGCCTCCACGGGGAACTGATCCTAGGAGACTGGCGGGAAGGCAAATTTGCAGGATCCCCACTGGAGATGGAAGAACTGGAAATGGACAGCCCCGAGACTTGGGCTGTGCTGAAAAAGAGGAAAGAATGTAGGTGGCCTAGCTTAATAGCAGAAAGCCCCTGCTTCCCATGAACAAGTAAGTGAAAGCAATTTTGTGACCAGATTTCCCCCCTCTAGCTCAACTTCTGGAAAGGGCAGATAGTCCTTGGCTGTATTACTTTCAGCTTATCATCTAGTAATAATCAAAGAGCTTTCTTTGACACCTGCTCTGCACATTGCTGTGGTGTAAGTAGGGAACCACCAATAGGCTCTGGCCACCACTGTCCCAGGGGCTACAATTGCTACTCTTTCCTTTTCCCAGCTCCTGCTCACTGAGGCTTCTCCCAGAAAACTCTGCTCCATATAAATTAGTGGGGATGAGGGACAGTTATTTGAACTTTCTTCCTTGGCCACAAAGTCAGTCTCTCTCTCTCTCTCTCTCTCTCTCTCTTGGGGGGGAGAATTGCCTTATTGCCTATAGTAAGGGCAAAGGTTTCCCTTGCTTGAAAGCCAGTCGAATCTGACTCTAGGGGGCGGTGTTCATCTCCGTTTCCAAGCCAAAGAGCCAGCGCTGTCCAAAGACGTTTCCGTGGCCATGTGGCCAGCATGACTAAACACCAAGGCACACGGAACACTATTACTGCCCATATCGTAGTGTAAATAAGCTCTGTCTTTGCTGCTTTTACCACCCACAGTAACTGCAAAGAGATAACCTGCACAATTGTTTTGGGGACACATACAAGAAGAGGTATTGCTGTCCTAATTCAGATCTCTCACTGTTATTAATTAAACTTACAGTTTCTCTAGTTCTTGATCCATAAGTGGGTCAAGCAGGAGCTCTGCTTTATCTGGAAGAGCACCTGCAATGGACAACAGCAACAGAGGATGAGTTAGACTGATGTCTGTGCATGAAGATCATCCATACATGGTAATAAATTGACATCTCTGTGCTAGAGGAAGCTTATGTGGCAGCAAAACAAAATGGAAGTCCAGTGGCACTCCAGAGCGCTTATTCCAGCATAAGCTTTTGTGCATTAGAAATGGAACTCCCAATTTATGAAAGCCTATCATGGAATAAATTCTTCCTCTTTTAAAGTCCCTTTGGGCTCCTGTTCATTTATTTCTACGAGAGAACGTACAAATGGCAGTGCAGATCTTTGCAGCAGTCAAGCACATGCTGAAAAAGTAGTTCTCTTTGCACAGTGTATTCTTTTGACAGCATTGTAGCCAAGTGATGCCTGGCCACATCTTCAGAATTTTTTTTTTGCGGGTACTCATTAACACAGGCTGACTAAGGACCTTTCCCCCTCAACAAGCTTAGTTACTGTGGGAGGCTTCTGTAGGGGCCAGGCTCAGCAACCATAGCAAGAGATCCTGTCTGCAAATAGTTTTGGATATTCAAAACCCGGGTATTGGGTACATACCTCTGTTGCACATGCTATGTAAGGTGGAGTGCACAGATCTTAATGGCAGTGAAAAGGAATAGGTCACTTTTTACAATTGCAGAATTTGGCTTGTGTGTGCAAATCTCCTTTCTAGAATAGGACGCATGTGCAATATGGTGCTCTGTAGAAATCTGTCTGAAACTCTGCATGCAAGAACGGGGGCTTTCCTTGTAGCTCTTTTCCCATTAGGAGCTACATCAAACAGATGGCCAGCACTGTGCTATCTAATCCAGGGAGCAGCAGCTGCTCAGCTCAGTGACAGCATTTTTTCCTACAACAAGAAAAAGATTCTTGTGTCTTCTGTCCCACGCTGTATATTCGGTTGTGTTAACAGGTTTTCCTGCTTAGGTGATGCATGCTGTTTATCTGTTGCAGCAAAGGGGTACCTGTAGCTGCTGTCACCTGAGTGCTGTTTTTATATTATTGGATTCTTGCACAAAAATTACTTCCCTGTAGGAGTTAGCCCAAATCTCACGTGATGCTCGGGCATGTGGGTAAATCACTGCATGTTCACTAGCAAATTTACATGTATGTAGACCTGGATGCCCCAGGCTACCCCAGTCTCATCAGGTCTTAGAAGCTAAGCAGGGCTGGCCCTGGTCAGTACTTGCACGGGAGACTACGAAGGAATCCAGGGCAGCTACACTGAGCCAGGCAACGGCAAACCACCTCTGTTAATCTCTTGGCAGCTGCAACTTCACAGCTCCTTCCTCCGCTGTGGAATAATCGTCTACATGTAGGAATTCTGTATTGTTTAAAGCAGCCCTGCATGTCTGGTCTTTAAAGGCAATCCTGGTGGATGTTCCATCTGGACCATGGGTTTGTTTTTTTTTTTTAAAAAAATCACGTCTTGGCCTCTGATAGGCAAGAGTGGCCAACTCAGATTGTTCTAGGACAATACCTCAACTGTGACCAAAAGGTGGTGGCTGTCCCCTCTGAGCAAAACCCTGACCCTCCTGCTCCATTGGTTCGGAGCTCTAAAAAGCATTAGGCACTTTGGTGCCCGCCTAGGGAGGGTGGTGAAGTCTCTTTCGTCCTCTCTCTCAGAGGAGCATTCTTAGCCTTCCTTATCAACCAAGCCTTCCCCATATTCTCACAAGTGACTTAGCGAAACCCATCATCTCCCCCCCGCCCGCGGCCCATGGTCCTCGGTGAGCCTCCAGGTCCCAGTGGGCTACGGCTGTTTGCCTGCCAGTGCCTCATACTGCCCCCTGGGTCTCTTTGTCCCCCTGCCTATGATTGTCCGAGGGTTTGTGATGGCCAGTTCCCACTGCCAAGACCTTGAATATGTGTCATGTGCAATGAAGTCCTGCTAGGCTACTTTTGTTGCTGAGCACATTAGCAGGAGACATGATGGAGCAGAGAGAAGCAGTGAAAGAAGAATGGGCTTAACCTTATCCCTCACTTCTTTTCCTGACTCATAAACACTTTCTCACCAACAGGTTCCAGAGATAGGTTTGTGGGCAAACAGACACCTGCAACTTTGCACAAGGAAAACACCTCGGGAGGAAAGGATCAAGCACCAGCCCCGTAGCTAGATGATTTTCAGTGGCAGGCACTGGGGGGGGGGGGCATGACGTCATGTCTGATGTCATAAAAAAGAGAAGACCTGGCTCCCTGGCATGGATCAAGCGCTCTCCTAGCCCCCCCTCCCCCGCACAAACCCCCTTAAGCCACAAAACTCTGCTGCGAATCGATCCAAAGGGCCTCCCCTGTCTCATGCATCCCTCCCCCTGCACCGTGGGAGACACTGGGTCCTAGCGCTCTTCCAGCAACCCAGGAGAGAAGCCGCTGCAGCAAAGCCCAGCCATCGCTTCACCGGGGGGGGGGACTCGGCAGCGGCTAGCCCCACACACGCTCTCTTCCCAGCCACCAACTCGAGGAGCCATGAGCTGCGGTTACGGCTGCCGCTGCTGGCCTCTGCCTCCTCTCTGAGCTCAGACAGTGGGCAGGAGGGGCTCTGGCTGGAAGTCAGGGAGCGGCAGGAAGAGCCGATGAGGCCGCTGTGGCTGCCCACAGGGGGGAGTGGGTCTGGCGTCCTCCTGGGGTGGAGGCATTGCAGACTCTGGAAGGGGCACCACCCCCACCCAGCTCTGGCCCTGTCAAGCACCCTTCCTCCCTACAGCAGTGCACCACATTCCTGTCTCCCAAGATGGCAGTGCAGTAAAGAAGTGGATTGCTGGGATTTTATCATATAATGTTGCAGCCATATTTATCCTTGCAATAACATGTTGGGTTAGGCCCTGGACAATATAATGTGTGTGTTTCCCCTAGTAGTTAAGAGAAAGGGGCTTGAGCAAAGGTTTTGAACTTGTGTGGAACCTGGAGGTGCATGATTCACAGTTGAGGCATTCCACCACCATAAAGCAGTCCAGCATCTGTTATTTCCTCCCCCCCCACCACCACCAAAGAAGCCAGGTATTCCAGTGCCCCCAGCATGATGCCATGGAAGCCTAGAGCACTGAAAAGTGCTTTTATCTACTGCCAGCCTTCCATGGCCTCAATTAGATGAACTCAGCCAAAGACTGGGCTTGTTTCTACATTTACAGAAAGGTCTCTGGGGTGCTCCAATCTCTTGGGAGAGTTGGTAAACAACACTTAGAGGATTGGTGAATCAATATTGACACAGGAGTTAGGCTGGGCGTTGCAAACCGCCTGACAAACTCATCAGCTGTGTTCTAATCCCCGGCTCTCTTTAAAGCAGGGCTGCTGCTACTGCCCTTTCAAGGCCCCTGCAAGACTAGAAGGAGCGTGGGCCCCTGACAGAGAGCTCTTTCCTTCTCTGAAGCTCTCGCCCGGGACTGCCCTCGCCGCAGGGCTTCGGGGAGCCTGTGATCCCCTGCAGACCAAAGCCTATTCAAATCATCCTGTGTGCACAGAAGATGAAAAGACACCAGGATAAGAATCCTGCTTTCCTTGCCAAGATGATAGCACCTGTTAGACTTGCGGCTGCTGCCCCTCCCTGTAAGAGGCCTCAGCAGGAGGCTGGCAGGAGGCCAGGGGACAGGACTTCCTTAATGGAAGGGAAAACCCATGCACTTTGTACATGGCACAATGGAGACTGTGGGCAGGGCTCTCTCAGCCCATCTGCTTTCTTTGCACCTTGCTGGAAGTGGATTGTGTAGAGCCAGGAAGAAAGCCCGGCTGGGTGCAATCCAGGCATCATCTTCCCCAGTGAATGCACTCCTCTCTAAGCCTGTTTGCAGAGGGGATTGCAAGCTTGTATTCATGTCCCTTTGATATATAATCCCTGCGCTGCTGGGTAAACAGCCCTGCACCAGGAGAGCATTAGCAGCCCAAACAGTCAGCGGGGACTGGGGCACGGCAAGGGGAATGCTGGTCTGTGCTATGGCAAAGCCCTGTGTACAGCAGCAGCAGCAGCAGCCGCCAGCTCAGGCAGGGACAGGTGACTTTCCAGCCACAGAACAAGCAGGGACTTGAGGGGAGCCTGCAGTGTCGGAAGACCATGTAAGTACGACGCATTCAAATCCACATCCAAATATGGCACCTGCAGCAATTTCCAATAATATGCCACTGAAATAATAATTCCACACACTACTTTCAGTGGTGCATAACTGTTTGGAGTGGCGCTGGAAACAGCTGGAAATGTTCCTTCCAAACGTATCTTGGTAAGTATGATGGTTTCAGGGAAAATGCACCTTGAGAGCATGTTTGAAGCCTTCCTGAAATGAGACCGAGATCTTCTAGAAAGACAGAATTGCTTCCCATGGCATTCTGTTATATCCTTTAGAAACTACAAATTAAAGTGGACTTCCAAGCAAAGCTGGATTCCGTGACCTATGTAAATTAAGAAATGTGTGTTTGTTTACTTATTCTGCACAACTGATTCTGTTTCTAGTAGTCAGAGAGAAGGATGACAACATGAAGGATACAAAAGCCCCACCCCAACAGAGATCCTGATCTAGATCTGTCACTAAATACCAGGAGGTCCCCAACCTTTTGGAGCCTGTGGGCACCTTTGGAGTTCTGACAGTGTGGTGGGTGCGGCCAGAAGATGGCTGCTGGAGGAGGTGGGACCAGCTACATAACGGTCGCCCCAGGTTACCTCCAGTCACACAGTGAAGATCCTTGTGCTGTGGTGGCAGCTGCTCCCAAAGCAACACTTTTAGAAATCTCCAGGGGCCAGTCAGAAGCCCCGCTGGGCAAGAGCCTCACCTGGCCCCACCCACTTTCTAAAAACATGGGCCGGGTGCCAGGGAAGGTGTCAGCGGGTGCCACGGCACCCAGGGCAGGGACTCCTGTCGCACACTTTCAAGCCTACCTTTACAATTTAGATATTTTTTTAGAGGAGGAGGGGAAAAAAGAAAGCCAGGTTGCTGAAAAGTGCTCCTGATCAAGCTCTGCGTTTGTGATCATGGGATCACAGAACAAACACCGTACTGGTTACACCTCAGCACCCAAGATGAAAGAGAAAAGGCAGTCCAAATCCTCAACACTTAGGTATTTTTCAGGTACAGACAGACGTGATAGGCAGAGAGAGCTCAAGGCATGTTCCTCAGGCATAGCATGATCCCCATGTCACAAGTGAAATGCAGATATGCAGCAAAAAATTGAATGCTGGCTTGGGCGTATGGGTTTGGTTTTTGAAGGAAAACTTTTACAAAGTACAAAACACCTACAAGGACTAGGGGTGGGGGAGGAGGCTTTGTGGAGACATCCTGGGAGTTGGCCCATTAGCACCATGCACAAAAAGATGGAACCAGATTAATCCTCTCATTCCATCATCATAGAATCATAAGAGCTGGAAGGGATCTCCAGGGTCACCTAGTCCAACCCCTGCACAATATAGGAAATTCACAAATACCTCCCCCTCCACACCCGCAGTGACCGCTGCTCCATGCCCAGAAGGTGACAAAAATACCTCCAGGATTGCTCCCTGACCAGTGAGCTACAATTGTTAGGCCAACAATGTAATTTGGAAGAACTAGGCAGGAAAAGCTAGAGAGTTAGGCGCCATGACACTCGTTTTGCAGAGTTGTTCATCAAAAGAGATCTGCAGCCAGTCACCGATCCCTGATGAGCATACTTAGATGAGAGGGCGCTTCCCAGCTCCTCTTTGGCAAGTTCGTGTGTTTTAGGCTTACTCTTCAAATATCAAAGGTCTACATCTTAAAAGGGCTGATTTCTACGCCGTGCTAGCATAAGCAGCTGGCAGAAGTGGATTGTTACCATTTGCCCCTTTCCCCAAAAGCCACCTGTGAGCCTTAGAAAGTCAGCCATGAGGATCGGGAGGCTTTTGCACAGCTGGAAAGAAGTCCTCCAGGCTTCAGCACTGCCCTTTTGCCACTGGAGGGGAGGGGGAAATCCAGGCCTGGCAGCCTCTGACATGAATTCAGGCCATAATATGTGATGCAGTTTTAAGAACCTAGAAGGACTTAAGACAACAGCTTTAATCCACTGGAGAGTTTCTACAGACAGAAGGATTTCTACCCACAGAGTGCAACTTTCTCGCCTCTTTCCTCCTGCTGCGGCCAAAAACAGCCCCTGAAATGCTGCTCCTGCCCTCAGGTGCAGCATTTCAGGGAGTGTTTGGGGCTGAAGCAGGAGCAGAAAGTTGTACTCAACTGGCAGCAATCGTTTCACCTGCCAAAACACTCCACTGGCTCCAAGTTGATTTCTGGCATTTTTTTATATTTTGTGTGTGTTTTGCTGCAGAAGGTGGTAGCTCTTGATTGAATCATGTAAAGTTCTTTGCTCTGAAGGTACCTTTCTGCCTCTGCTGTAACCTCTACCTTTAAAAAAAAATAACGTGGCCAAGTTTCTCTACTCTGCTCTAAAGCAGTGCCAAAGGATCCTAGAGACATAATTCTTTCATAGATGTACCTGTGGGTCAAGTTTTTATTTTGCTCTTAAATTGTATAATCTGTATTGACAATTTATGCCAATAAAGGCTAACTTGAATTTGAAAAAAATAATGTCATTTATCACTTGGATTCAAGGTGGATTACACTGAGTGAGTCAATACAATTGACAGGATGGGATATTCAATAAACAATGCACTAAGACTGGGGTTGTAGAACCAACCAGAAGTCTAAAAACAGAACTGAAGCAAAGCATAAGTATTAACATGACACACTAAACGATGGAAAAATTACATAGTAGGATCCTATTTTCAGCAAGCTATAGACAGTAGTATAAACTACAGTCCCTAATAACTGATCCAAGTTACTTTGTGAATCATTTAGTACAGTGCTACCCTATTTACTGCCTGCATAGAAAAGCCCTCTTGTGGGGCTTTGTGGCCTGGACCAAGGCATGCTCCTCAAGGGTCACTGCTTCCCTGAGTTATGTCAAACCACAAGATCGGTTTCTTTACCAAGGGCTCCGTTGATCCCATGATGCTTTGTAAGAGCCATCAGAAACCCGTAGAAGGTCAGTCTCTGTACACTGCTCAGAACTTCCTTGACAATTGCAGATGGAGGGCAGCTAGGGAAACAAGCAGAATGTAGGAAAAACAAAACATCACAACGGTCAGCATATCATCATCTTTTAGCCCCATATGAAAGGTCCTGCCTGAAGCAGTTCCAGCTTTGTCACCTGCACTTGTCTTCCTAAATTATGCAATGAGAACTAAGTTATATAGCATCTCTTTTGCTCATACCCTTATGCTTTTCCTGTGTGTTCCCTGTCCCCCAGAAGAGGCATGGAGAGGCAATTTGGACTGCAGCATAGATTACAGCAAAGCTTTTGACTGTAATCAATGTTCCCTCTAAGCTCCACAGTGTTGTGAGCAAAAAGTCTACCTTGTAAGCAAAAAAAGCTAGTGGCATTTAAGTTGTGAGCAAGTCTACACTTGACTATTGTATAAATTAGTTTCTTAGAAGATTATTTACATAACCTTGTAAAAACAATATTTAAACTATATTTTAACAATAATTTAAATATTATAAGAGAAAACAGAATCAAGACAAACTTCATTACAGAAAATACTGTCATCTATGGGGGTAGACCTGGCCTCCAGAGAATGGGTCTACCCCCCCTTCCAGTGTCAGAACCCTGCCTAACCTAACAAACAGGAAGTTGCTTAAATGTTATCAACCTGCCCAAACTACTTATTTATTCAAATATTTATATCCCACTTTTACTGTGACTCAAGGCATCTTACAAATCATACTGAAAAGCATAATAGGGGTGTGGAAAAAAAACTATTTTTCCTGCTCCATTATAGCCTATGGGGACCATTATAGTCAATGGGCTCTATAGACTAAAATGGAGAATTGATCTGGGGAAATCTGGGGCTCTGGAAGGGCTGTTTGTTGAGGTAGAGGTACCAAATTTGCAGCATAGCTGCTGGTGCCTCTCCTCAACAACACTTCCATGTTTCTAAAAGATTGGACAAGGGAGTCCAATTCTATGAGCCCCAGAAGGACATGCCCCCATCCTCATTGTTTCCTATGGAAGCTTTGTTGTGAGCAGAGCACAAATCCTCTGAGCCAGCCTCTGAGATGTTGTACACTAGTGTCCCATAATGCAGCTTAGAGAGAACTGTGGTGTGGATCATTAAAAGCTTGGTTGGTTTTAAAAGAAATGGGTGTTTCACAGCATCTGATTGTTTTAATGCGAAGCCTGTATTCTGGACAAGAGGCTACTGTTAAGACACAATACGGAGAAACAGAATGGTTTCCAACTGGCAAAGGTATCAGACAAGGATATATATTTTTCTCCTTACCTCTTCAATCTATATGCAGAATACAGGGAAAGCTTGACTAGATTTAAATGAAGGTGGAGTGAAAATTGGTGGAAGGAACATTAACAATTTGAGATTTGCAAGACCTGAGGAAGACTGTTAACAGGATGTTTTGAAGAATATTAATTCATAGGGTTGCCATAAGTTGGAAACAACCTGACAGCACTTAACACACATGCAAGCCGCCTTGAGTGCCACAAGGTAAAAAGGTGGCTAATAAATATTTTAAATAAATAAATAATCTCTAAGGATCTAAGCTTGCTGCTGCAATGAGAAAACTGAGGCAGAATTGTGATAGCCCAAGAATAAATCCTTGCTGCATACAGCAGCTGGGCCACCATTTTTTTGGCATGCAAATCAAAACTTGCCTGTGCCATTTTCAGAAAGCAAAAGAACAGCATGGGGTCAGGCCTGTGGCCCTATCACATTCATGCTTAGGTGAATAAACTAGTTTCTCTTCAGCACTCTTAGGTCATTATCCTAACGCTTCTGTGTCAGCATCCAGACAGAGAGTTATGGAGAAGTTGAAAACTTGGACACTGTGTTGCATTACTTTGGTTGGTTTTAATAAAAGGTAGTATGTGGCTATTGTTCTTTTGATTTTACTAAGGAACTGTGTAGCTACCTACTTAGTATTTCCCCATCTGAGTTATTCATGTGACCGAACATTTGGGTAACCCCCACCACCTATCTTCCAAGGCAGCAGCAGATGAACCACACTTTAATCTGAATAAGCCCACGAGTCCCAGGTCTTACCTGTATTTGGACCTGTCACACAGAGACTCAAGGCACTGATAAAACGCGGATGCATCCACCCCATCAAGTGGGCTGCAGTCACTTAGAGTTTGGCGTGGACGATGCTGCCCAGAAGATGATGTGGGCACAATGACAGTGTTCGGACTTTTGCCAGTCAGGAGATCTTGATAGATGGCAGCCACACTTTCAAGGAACTCTGTAAAAATGGTGTGATGGCATAGAAATTGTAGTTCAACATTAGTCAGCTGAAGGCAACACTGGGAACTGATGTCATGTCTCCAAGACTTTCAGGAGGATGGATGGCAACAACACAGCAATCCCCTGACTGCTGGCAGCATATGTAAGGGACCTGATTTTACTTGCATTGCTTTGTGAGGAGGTGCTCCCCTAATTCCTCAGTGTTCCCATGATCTACTAATGAACTTCTTCAAGAGGGAAGTCATGGCAGGATCACAAAGACTGGCCTCTGAGTGTCTACTGCAAGGAGTTGTCAACCTTTTCTTCAACAAGAGCTACTTCTGAGTAATGAAAAATATCCCAAGCTACTCTCCATCCCCGGGATGTTAGCAAGTCTTATTATGTCCAAAAAGCAGAACACAGACTAGGAGGAGCACCAAAAATGAAGCAGCACAGAGTAAAATCCCATGAAATAATAATAATTAAATAATTAAAAGCCTAAAGCAGACATTTTCGCAGCTCTGCAGCAGCAAACAAGTTACTGGTAGTTCATGAGCTATCGGTTGGAGCCCTGTCATCTAGTGTTTGAGGAGGGGGCTGACCTTGTTCTTTGGGCAGGGGATTAATCAGATGGCTCTTGGTCCCTTCCAACTTTGATTCTGCACAGTGGAGTGAAAGTGGAAGCCACCCAATCGGCCGAGTTTCTTTGCTGTGAAAGCCTCCCCCTTTCACAGAAATAAACACTATCCAAATTACAGGCAGGCTGTTTGAACTGTTGAAGGAGCCAAGGGAGCCGGGTTAGGCAGGCTCCAGTTTACAGCCCAGCATGCCTCACTACAACTCCAAAGTAAACACAACATGGGGCCTGAAGGCAAAACTCATGGGAGATGTTGGCCAACAGCACTCTCCCTCCAGGCTCTAGACCCTTCCTTGCTGTTTACTCTCAAAGCCTAAATTTAAACCAGTTTGTTTATGGACCTGGTCAGCCATTTACCGATAGAGGCAGATTCCTTTCTGAGTGGTTTGTGTGCAATGTGGGCTGGTGGGCTAGCCTACGAAAGATGCTGGGTGTGGATGAGAATGGACATGATGTACTGTAGTATGTGCCTGCAGGATTCTATGCACACAGGAAAAACTGCGTGATTATATGCATGCTAGGGGTTAGTGATCATTTAACGTTATTCTGAGGTTCCATGGTTCAATGGAGATTTTCATATGACCCTGGTTGTCTGTCTGCCTGCTTGCCCTCAGGAACAGCACTCTAAACCATTCACATAGATGGCAAGATTGTGAAGGGAAATGAGACCTGCAAAGGGGATTATTATCTTGTTAATGCTGTTGGGTTCCATTCAGAAAACAACAACAACAACAACAACAGAGAGAGCCATTTCAGGAATGAATCAGAACAAGCTACTTGGCTGATGTTCTCTCTCTCAGAAGGGAGGCATTTGCATTTCCCACACTGTTATCAGTGATAAAGCCCCTCTTTCAGTCTTTATCTTACTTACAAAAATAATACTGGAATCCTGACTTACCTCCTCACTTTTGCTGAGACCTGCAGGGAAAAATATTATTCCCTGCTTCCCAGAAAATAATTATTCTCTGCTTGCCACAAATAAAAAATCTGGGCTGCTTCAAACACCATGCATTTCCTACATCGAAACCCCCACTGGGAAGAAAAAAGATGTGAAAACTAAGTAGGTTGATCATATACTCATTTCTTTAATTTCTTTCCGATGTGCTGGGAAGTGGCAACTGTCCACACCTTACTGACACACGTGCATGATATGAAGCACATATACATTTGATATTCACTCATGCTGGGCCATGTGCAGTTTTCATGTTTGAAATGGCCCTCAGACATAGCTATAGCTAATAGGATTCGCTCTCATATACTGCCAAGAGGATCCATATAGGGTATCAAGACTTTCTGGCCTAGGTTGCACCCAGACCTTTTGCTTCTGTTGTAGTTCAGTAGTAGCAGACAAGAGAATGTGAGGTGGGCTCACCAGAGTAGTAAAACTGGACCTGGAAAGCAAACAGGAAGTCTGAAAAAGACATCAAGCAGTCCATCGCATCATCCATTAGCACGATCCTGGAACCAAGAAGGGACAGAAGGCTCAGTCACAAGCACTTGCTATAGCAGGTAACTTAGACTGGGAGAAAAGTTATGTTAAAGGTGAACAAGGGATACTCACAGTTACAAAAGGGACATCCCAAATGGACTGACAATTTGTTCTCTGTTTGCTAATTTATATCTTTCAAATCAAACCCATGGTCCACCATATGTATTGGGCCTATATGATTTTATGGATTGTGGAAGTATCCTAAGAACTATGAAAATCAAAGGGGAAAATGGATTGCCTCCAAGAGACAGAATGATTTCATGGAATGGTGCTCTAAAATTTATATCATCTTATGGAGGTAGTACCCAAAGGTAGCAATGGGAAGGTGGTCCTCCACCATGACCTTTGGAATCCCACAAGGATAACCACTGACCAGAAAGACACCCTCTCACTTTCCCCCAGTAGCCTTTACACATAACAACGGCCTCCAAAATGATCTAGTTGTTTAAATGATATCACTTCATTTATGAAGTTGTATGAAACCCAAGTTTAGAAAGGACTGTGGCTACAATGATGGGTGAGGAAAATAAATCTGCACTCTCTTCTGGTGGTGGTGGTGGAAAGTGGCATCAAGTCACAGCTGACTTATGGCAACCCCTGTAGGGTTTCCAAGGCAAGAGACAAACAGAGATGGTTTGCCTGTCTCTGTGCAGCAACCCTGGACTTTCTTGGTGGTCTCCCATCCAAGTATTAACCAGGATTGACATGGTTTCGCTTCCAAAATCTCAGGAGCTTAGGCAGCCTGGGCCGTTCAGGGCAAGGCTCAAGATATACTAGGACATGTAATAAAGCAGACCCATTATTTAAGAGAGGCGTTGGAACACTAAGAGGACAAATGACTAACAATTTCCACTCTTAGTTTGGCACACTGAAGAAGTACATAAAGAATTACATAAAAGATAAAAAAGAGCAAAATTACAGCAATAAATTCCTCCTATTTGCTGTTTTGACCCTGGACAAACACAGCTAATACTGGCAAGCAGGGCCAAGGGCCATACTGTGTTGATTGATGCTGCTTTTCCAAGCAGCTTTGATATTTATTAAACTAACAGAGCAAGATGAAAGCTAAATTTGGCCTGTCCTGGCAAAGGATTCAGGAAAGACACCTTTTGTCTTGTTACCTCACAAGATGGGCTCTATACCTAAAGAAGGTTACGATTCCCTCAGCTTACCATCCACACAGAAAAGGCAGAATGTCTAGCAAGCTGTGTATTTGTTCCACTTTGATTTCTAATCACATATTCATACCTTTTATTCCCTATGAATAAACACATGCCTTGGTTTGGGGTCCAAGTGTTCTGCCTGGGTCATTCTAACTGACCCTTGCCTGAAACCCGCTTCGCTTCACAGAGCTATAGCCAGAGTCAAATATAGTTTAGATGAGCCTTCAGATAAGTACTGCAGAGTCAAATAACCTCTCTCTCTCTCTCTGCTGGTTCTTAGCTACTCCTGGTTTTGTATTCCAGCTTTTACGGCAAAATATATGCTTCGATTAAGGCAATGTTTATTATTTGGGTCACTGGCATTAATTTTGGTGACTCACATTGTCCTTTTCATCCACATAAAAATATTTCCCTCACGGATGTGCCTGGATAGAAAGAAATCCTGTCAGGGCACTTGGAGTTCCATTTTGTTCTCTTCACCCATCGCGAACCACAACAAGAACACTGGGTGCAAACTCGTTTTGCCTACTATAGCAAGCAGATAAAAGACGCGGCAAACACTGTCAATATAACTGTGGCAAATGCTTCCCAATGTTTGTCAGTCTGTTTGGGTGGGTTATGCAGGGAGTAAACAGCAACCTCTATCTATCCCTCCTGAGCAGGACCTCAGTTTAAAGGGGAGGGCAATGATTCCCTCATAGTCGTCTCAGGATTTGTTGGCCCTGGGTGACTGCTGCTCACAGAAGAGGCTCTCTAGGTGAAGACAGAGGTGGAAGAGATACAGGACCCGTCTCAGAGAGACGCCTCCTTCCCTGCTACTCTGACCAGCTCAATTCACTGAGGCAAATTCAAGCATGCAGAGCAGCTTGAATTAATTATTGCAAAGAAGAAAGACTAAAGCTAAGAGGACTCCCCAGGAGAAAAGCCACTATTTAAAACAAAACCCTTTGAAGATGTCAAAGTGCTTCTGCTTTATTTATTATGTCCCCAAAACCTCCCCCCCCCTTCCCCTCCTGCTGCTGTCTGGAACAGCAGTAGCTCCAGTCCTTAATTCCCACTAATAAGCACGTTTTGGGGATTGTCAGTGGCCACAGCAAAGAGATGGCTTTGAAGCTGGCAGACGGAGTATCTTTATCTCCCAGGCAATAGAGCACATCCCACGGCATCCCTCTTCAGACCTGTGCCTCTGACAACCTGCGGAAGGCGTCAGAGGAGAGGCATGAAAGCTGCTTGCCGGTACAGTCCTGCTCTCTGGAGAAGGGGATAGTCAAGAAAAGGAGGGTGCAAAGGGACTGGTGACATCTCTATGCCATCCTGTCCCTTTGCCTGGGGAGAGTCAGGGCCCCGACCCTTGGTGGAACAACCTGCCATTCCCCTCCCCCAAATTCTAAAAGCACTGTGAGGGAGTGAAAGAACCTTGAATATGGGGTTTTGAATTGAGTCATCCCCAGTGCCTGTGCCCCGGAGAAGCAAAGAATGGGTATCTCAGAAGCAATTACTCAATGGGCCAGCAACCTACTAATTGCACGGCTGGAGCTACTGGTGGAACAGTACTGCATGCCTCTCCTGATGGGCCGGATGAGAGGCCAATCTGAGCAGCGTACGGTCTGCAAACAAGCGACACAGCCCTGAATTTAGGGCCAAGTATTAGAGCTGGAAAACAGACAGACACGGAGTCTTCAGAAAGCAGGTGTTGAGCAGTGGTGGAAGTGGGGGAGGCACAACAGCTCTTCCTTTCCCTTCTGCTTTTCAAATTGCACCACAAATACATAGTTACACAGCCTATGTTAGTGTATTCTGGGCATTCATTTAGCAAAAACAATTAATGAGGAAAACTAAGGAAATGCAAGTAGAAAAGCAGTGCTCTACAAGTTGGAAATATGTCCCATGGGGGGATTGAAATGTTGGAATGTTGCCTGTTCTGCTGTCAACCAACCCACTAACATGGTTCATCCCTTCCACTCTTGTGTGAATTCCTGTCCTCTCTGCCTTCACCTTTCTGCCTAACTCAATCACTTGAGGAGCGCAACAGGCAAATGTGAGCCATTGCATGACAATCCAGCACATGATGTTTCAGGGATGAAAAATGGAAACTCCCTGGCATATGCTTTGCGAGGAGATGGGGGAAGGTGGCACTGCTAATGTGCAAGATGTCATGACTCTTATTACAATGGCCAGAATCTACTCAGCTCTTTTTAATAGTTGGGGAGGGGTTAAGAGGTATTGCTAAAGCTGCTGAGCCAACATAGGAATTTAGGAAACTGCCTGATGCTAGTAGATCAAGATGGGTAGCCATGTTAGTCTCTCTGTAGCAGTAGAAAAGAGACAGAGTTCAGTAGCACCTTAAAGACTAACACAAATTTGTGGTAGGGTATGAGCTTTCGTGAGTCACCGCTCATTTATTCAGATACAGATACTGGAAAGCAGAGTGATTTCAGATGCCCAATGACATTAGCAGGCAAATGACAACAGCAGGTGCAATTGGATTAGGTGTGATATGCAGAGAGGTACCAGACCTGGATCAGTTATTGATGCTGACCAAATGTTTCAGTAGCTTCTTGGAGAATGCAGGACACAAACTCCCACCCTAGTTTGTGGGGTAAGTGGTAGCCTGGTGCTAAGCGACTGTCTCTTTCACATGCCTTGGGATGGGCCAGCTTCTTTAATAGTTCAGAGGGGCTGAAGGGTCCAACAACAACAACAACAACAACAGAGAGAGCCATTTCAGGAATGAATCAGAACAAGCTACTTGGCTGATGTTCTCTCTCTCAGAAGGGAGGCATTTGCATTTCCCACACTGTTATCAGTGATAAAGCCCCTCTTTCAGTCTTTATCTTACTTACAAAAATAATACTGGAATCCTGACTTACCTCCTCACTTTTGCTGAGACCTGCAGGGAAAAATATTATTCCCTGCTTCCCAGAAAATAATTATTCTCTGCTTGCCACAAATAAAAAATCTGGGCTGCTTCAAACACCATGCATTTCCTACATCGAAACCCCCACTGGGAAGAAAAAAGATGTGAAAACTAAGTAGGTTGATCATATACTCATTTCTTTAATTTCTTTCCGATGTGCTGGGAAGTGGCAACTGTCCACACCTTACTGACACACGTGCATGATATGAAGCACATATACATTTGATATTCACTCATGCTGGGCCATGTGCAGTTTTCATGTTTGAAATGGCCCTCAGACATAGCTATAGCTAATAGGATTCGCTCTCATATACTGCCAAGAGGATCCATATAGGGTATCAAGACTTTCTGGCCTAGGTTGCACCCAGACCTTTTGCTTCTGTTGTAGTTCAGTAGTAGCAGACAAGAGAATGTGAGGTGGGCTCACCAGAGTAGTAAAACTGGACCTGGAAAGCAAACAGGAAGTCTGAAAAAGACATCAAGCAGTCCATCGCATCATCCATTAGCACGATCCTGGAACCAAGAAGGGACAGAAGGCTCAGTCACAAGCACTTGCTATAGCAGGTAACTTAGACTGGGAGAAAAGTTATGTTAAAGGTGAACAAGGGATACTCACAGTTACAAAAGGGACATCCCAAATGGACTGACAATTTGTTCTCTGTTTGCTAATTTATATCTTTCAAATCAAACCCATGGTCCACCATATGTATTGGGCCTATATGATTTTATGGATTGTGGAAGTATCCTAAGAACTATGAAAATCAAAGGGGAAAATGGATTGCCTCCAAGAGACAGAATGATTTCATGGAATGGTGCTCTAAAATTTATATCATCTTATGGAGGTAGTACCCAAAGGTAGCAATGGGAAGGTGGTCCTCCACCATG